CCCGCCGGGAGCCGTTCAGCACCGCGGACCGTCAGACTAATGGGATGTCGGACCAATGACATGGACCCGAGTTACAGAGGGTGGGGACAAAATGTTGTCTGGAGATTCCATTTACAATGAATGGCATTCTGCTGTGCCTTAAGAGTTTGAGTCCATGCGTGTGGGAGGGGGGTTAGGACCTAACCATCTAAACAGGCTGACGTTGACATGAGCTACGCCTGAGGAGCTCATTAGCTATCTAGCCTGCAAACTAACTTCAGCCGTGCACTTTTACCCCTGGTGGGTGTTTGTTTAAAAAAAAAACTGTAAAACAAGCTGGAGTGCTCTGTATGTCTAATATTTAATTTCACTCAGGCTTTACATAGACTTCATATAGCCTTTATAAAGGCATCGCCAAAGCAGGGAAAGTTGCTTGCCTATTACCACTAACTGCTGAAAGGTTATCACCTTCACATGAATTATTGTAATGGAGTTTCTGTCTGTTCCCAGTGGCAAAGCAGTTCTCCTGGAGAGGCCACTGCTGCTTAATAAATGTCTTGTTAGCACTGTGTTCTCTACAAGTGAGTGGCTGAGCTGTGTCAAATTGATTTACTGACTTGGCAGTACAAGCATCTAATAATCTGAGTCATAGAACAGTCTCTGCGTCCACCTAGCCCCAAGTTGTTTTGTTTGCATCAAAACAAACTTGTCTCTCAGAGCGGTTTCATCAGAATCCCAGCGCAGCTCTGCGGCTGTACAAAAATGGGTGATGGATTTTATCTGCCATCGATATACACTCTGTACTTTGTGTTTTTACTTTGTTGTTTTTTCTCTGTCTTTAAAGGCTGGATTGATTAACAGTCTGCGCTGGTTGGCAGAAACAAGGGGAGTGACAGACTTAGAGAGACGAGACTCTGGTTTCCAAGAAGCTGTCAGCTTATCAGGAATCATTGAGTATCGAATTTACTACTCACACAAACACACAGACACATGGACATACACACAGAGGAACAAATGGCAAACAGGACCAGCACCAAGGCGCTCTGCCAATACAGCTGGCCACTGTGAGTTCAACCACACAGCATATTTCATTAA